CGCTTCATTCTGGCCAAGAAATTCCTCTAAAACACAGATGCAATCACACCATCCCCTGAGTAAAACTCTCCATACTGTCTACCCACCAAGTCTAGTTCTGTAGTGAGACCCCAAGATCTTTTATGAGCTGATTCTGCTCAACTCCTTGCCTATTCCTTGCATAACTTAGCGAATGCAAATGTTTGGCTTATCACAAGCCATCCTCGGCCCCTGCGCCTCCTGGATGCTGCCACAGCGAGGGCCTGGCTGCCAGGGAATCCAAAGACCGCTCTGTGGTCAGTCTAGAAGACCTTCAGGACTTCCACCTGAGCCCCGCCTGTCCCTATCAGAGCTATGCCTTCCAGGACCAGCAGAGGGCGCCGTGACACCAAATAACCTCAAATAGCTGCGTCTCTGGAGACCACACCTGGGCGTGTGGCAGCTGGAGCTGGCGCCCGCAGGCAGGACCTTTGTCATAACCATAGAACTGTGCTTTTCTAACTTTTTTTTTCTCACTGCAACTCACTGTTTGAAATTCATTTTACCTTGCAGCCCAGTTCACACATACTCATACATTTATTATTGACTTTTAATATTAATCTGATTGCTGATGGAATTGCATAAGGAAATAAATTTTTGAAAAAGAAAAAATAAAATGAATTACACTGGAATTTTGGCCTTTGTACCTTCAGGACAAAGTAAATTAATTTTCTAAATAGTTCACTTTTACGTGACTGAAAGATTTAGTTTATAAAATATTCAGATTTTCAGTTATTGAATACATGAAATTTACTATATCAGTACACCATATTTTTCTTACTGCATGCCTAATTTTTTAGAATTTTTAATGCATCTTATTTTGAAACGTTCTTTAAAATATAGATAACAAAATATTATGGAAATTTGACTGTGTAAAGTCATAAAGGCCTAGAGTCTCCTTAAAATGAAACAGAATTAATTGTCATAAATTATTTGTTTCCTGGGCAGCAGAGTGGTAACATTTTAATTAAAACTAGAAAGTTATCATGTTGACAAGTCATTCACAGGGACAAAACTTTGTCATCAACTCTGAAACACTTTAAACGATAAATTGAGGCATATTCAAAAAATTTTTAAGTTTATTTGAGCAAAAATAGATTCAATCAGGCAGCATCCAATCTAGCAGATAGAAAGGAGCTCTGAGGAGCTATACAAAACGAGGGACTTTTATAGGCAGAAGGCACAAGGAAGCTATCCTAGGCACAAAGTGGTTGGTTATTACAAGGTTACTTTTCTATATGGATGGCAGGGGTCTCGCAGCAGGTGGCCTACTAGTGCTATTCCTGGTGGACTGGTGTACGATTCCATTTCTGGGAGAGCCGAAACTGTAATTAAGTCTTGGTTTGGCAACATGAGGCTTAGCATAAGCAACTCCATTTTGGGCCTGTTGTCTTCTTTATTAACAAGCATAATAGTAATTATCTCATATATCTCAAATAATTCTCTTCCTTAGTTTAAGTGTCTTGTTTGCATGGAAACTTTATGACAGGGAGCGGGAGCAGGAACAAACTGCACGGACACCTTGTGAGATGAACGGAACTTCATTAAGTGTCTATAAATGCAAGGTAAGAAGCAGTATATTTTATGAGCTTGGTTACAACAGTGTCAGATGGACCAGCGGGAGGAGCTAGTCACAAAATGGTGCAATTAACTGTTAAAAGCAAAACACCTGGGGCTGGCCCCGTGGCCGAGTGGTTAAGTTCGCGCACTCTGCTGCAGGCGGCCCAGTGTTTCGTTGGTTCGAATCCTGGGCACGGACATGGCACTGCTCATCAGACCACACTGAGGCAGCGTCCCACATGCCACAACTAGAAGGACCCGCAACGAAGAATATACAACTATGTACTGGGGGGCTTTGGGGAGAAAAAGGAAAAAATTTTTTAAAAATCTAAAAAAAAAAAAAAAAGCAAAATGCCTCACAGGGCGGCAGAATCATTCCCATTCCCTTAACCAGCTGTGTGAGAGCTGTTTGCGCTGTTTGAGACCAATAGAGCAAAAAGGAAAGGTTCTATTTTCAAATAAAGTTTTCATTGCAGATGTAAGTAACTGTGCACGGTTAATACAACAGTTGGGATCCCTGAAAAGAAATTCTAAAAGACAAGCTACCAGGGGTAAAATAGTCAATGAGTAAATAAATGCTTTAAAATAAATATGATATTCTAGAAGCACTGCAGAAGTTCGTGTCCTGGTGATGAGGCTGCAGTAATAGAATGGGGTCATAGCTTTACATCAAGTTCTTTCTGAAAGTGCTGAGATTCAGGTACTTTGCGTGATTACTGAATTCACAGGGAATCTCTGGGGTCTAAAATCTTGCCTGGACATCTGAATTTCATGCCACATAATGATAAAACCTTGGTGTGTTTTATAAAACTCAACTGCTTCCATCCAATCCATTTTCAGCTCCTTAACACATGGGAGCCGAATCTCCCTACTGAACAGTAAAAAGGCGAACTTCACCAAGGATCTGTGAGCTCAGTGCGGAATTGACCTTTCATGACACAATACTTACCCTTACTATGTTTAATGGATTCTGATAGTTTATGTTCTATTCCTTTTTGGTTTTCAATTGATTTTTATGACTTACTGCAGGGCTCAGCCCACCGTTGATAAGGCACTGTCCTAGAATCAGAGCTTGGAGAAAACATACATCATTGGCATTTGGCTCTGGAGGACACAAGTCCCTTCTCGCCTCCTCCAGGGGCTGACCACACAGAGTAAGCTGAGCTTGGAACAGGAGAAAAGAGTTCTTTGGGCCCATCCTGCCCCTAACCAAGCTTGAACCTCACCTGTGCTTCATTTGTGGAGGAATAACTCCTGCCCATTTTTACTTCTGTTGTTAAAAGGGTTGGCGAATGAAAGAAAGACTTCAGGGGGAAATGTACCATTTTTTGCAAGTACATCATCAGAATCACTCAGCAAGGGCCAGCTGTGTCCCCTGTCCTGTTCCTGGCACCACCTCTGGGCCTCATGGCCCTGTGGGTTCAAGCTCTGAGGCGCAGCCACTCACTGGGCACAATCAAAAGGCATGCCCAGTCCCAGAGCTGGGAACAGACTGTGTCCCACAGGTCTGTTTCTAAGGCAATTGATCAGAGCCACAAACACTCATGCGACCCATGCTGTGGCTGTTTGCTCAGCACCTGGCATGGTTTCTGGTTTGGTACGTAGTGTTACCATAAAACAAAATGGTCACAGCATGCATCACACCACAGTATAGTGTCTCTCTATCAGGATCCCTCAACACCTTGGCAAGTGGAGGTTGGAAGCCGCCTCGCCCCCAGATTTACCTATGAACAGGTATGTGCAGGAACACCTGCCATCACCCCGTTCCTCAAGGAAGCGTCACCTGCACCACTCTTGTTCCATCCTTTCTCCACTTGTGGACTGTCACATACTGTACCTACAGGTTAGGCCCTTATCTCTGCTAAACAGCCACAAGGACATTTTGATCTGGGAAACATAGAGTCACTCAGTGGAACTAAACCTCTTCAGAAATAAAGAGACTGAGAAGCAATGTGACCAAAATTCTATGAGAGCAGCAGTTGTGCTGGGGAGTTATGTTGTGTTTTGGAGAAAACAACCACGGATGGGTCCTCAGTCTGCTACCAACATCCACATGCACGAGAGGCACTTATGAAGTTGGGTGGTCGAATCCACAGCAATGGCAGATAACGCTGAAGGGTAGAGACGCAGACCTTGGAAATGAGCCTGAAATGCTCACTGTGCTGGGCCCTGTCTAGGGCTGCCCAGATGGAAAGGAGGTAACATCCTGGCCCACACGCCTGGAGGAGCTTACGATCTACCACAAAGGCTTCTTTCAATATGATGTCACAATAGACTAGGAAAGTGAAACATTAAGACAATAGATCCAAAACAAGTTGCACTTTCTGTATGTTATCAAACAAATTTTTACAGTTTTCAAATATATTAAAAGCTTTACCCTACGCCTACTCTTTAACCTAGAACTTCCTCTTTTAAGGCTATATTCTAAGGAAATATTTACCCTACTGCTGAGTTTATAGGGTAAACCTAAATGTCCAACAATATGAAATCATTTCAATAAATTGTAGAATGTCCACATATAGCCCATATGGAAGCTGTCCTTTTCCTCAACTTTGAGCCATTTATGCCAAAAAAGTTGTCCACTTGGACCCAAATATGTGATAGCAATATGGAAGTTTCTGGAGACTTGAAGGAGACATGGAAAAGGTCTACAGTGTAACAGCCTAGAAACAACTTAATCACACGATCATCCAATGTCCCTTCTTTGCATGCCCCTTCAGAGGCACAAAGCCACTAGGTGGTTCTCCCTTCCCAGCACTTCCTTTCCCCTGCCCTCCCCTACCTCCCTTGCTCTGCTCTTCCTTCCTCTTTTCTCTCCCTCCATCCTCCACTCCTTTCCTGCAATCAAAGTTTCACTGGCTCCAGTTTGGTCCTTTCTTATTGAAAATCGTTGTGCTCAACTCTTCACCCCTACTCCTTCCAAATTTTCATTTCTTATCCATTTCAGAGTTCACCAAAAGAAAGGCCAGGCTAGTAAACAGAACAGATCCTTCTTAGAACACAGTTTCATGACCAGATTTTGTCATTTTGGTGTGATTTATGGAGTCTCATTCCCCATGGAAGGACTAACAAGGAATTCTCCCAACAAAGATGGGTCTCTCCTTAGTAAAAACTCATATAACGGCTGAAAAAGGAAGAGAGTTTTCTATATATCCTTACATATTCAGTGGAACATTATGCAATCATTAAAAATGATCTTGTAGGGGCCACCCCACTGGCATAGTGGTTAAGTTGGCATGCTCCACTTTGGAAGCCTGGGCTTCATGGGTTCAGATCCCAGGTGTGGACCTGCACACTGTTCATCAAACCATGTTGTGGTGGCATCCCACATACAAAATAGAGGAAGATTGGCACAAATGTTATCTCAGGGACAATCTTCCTCAAGCAAAAAGAGGAAGTTTGTCAACAGATGTTAGCTCAGGACCAATCTTCCTCACCAAAAAGAAAAAGAAATCTTGTAGAAGCCTATCTTGTGACATGGAAAGGAACTCACGATACACTGTTAGTGCAAAAACAAATCAATTTTTCATGCATGAGTCTATATTTGTAATTAAAAATAAATATATACGAAAATAAAAGAATAGAAGGATAGACATTAAATGTTCATAGTGACTAAGAAATAGTTTAGTAGAATAGTTAGGAACATGGCTTTGAGGTCAGAAAAACATGCGCTACAGCCCCTCTTCCACTTCCCAGACATGTGACCTTGGGCAATTTCCTTAGCCTCAAAGTCCCTGTTCCTTTATGTGTATGCTAAGGGAGATGTAAGACTTAAGTGCGGTAATACAGAGACAGTGTGCAGCACATATTGAGTGCTCAATAAATGTCCATCAGTATGCTTGTGGTTGTGCTGGGTTCCAAACTGGCTTATGGATTTTCCCCTGAATTAACTATCTCTTTGTGTCAATCAAGAAACATAGTCATGCTAAAAATAAATAAATATTAAGGAATGTTTACAAAGAAAAATAAGGAAAGTGAAATTAATAATCAAGTAGACAATGGGCTGTAGGAAGAAGTAGGTTCTAGGAGGGCTTGGTCAAGGGAGGTCTCCTGGAGGTGCTTCACGTTTTAAAGATTAGGGGGACAGGGAGGAGGTGGAGAGCACCTGGAAGAAGAGATGGGAGAGGCCACTTCTACCTGGACTCCCGGGATTGTTAAGAAAAATGAAATGAGAGCAGAATCTTGCCTAACCCAGTCTCACTCCCTGACTTACTTACTCTTTCCCCTTTTTCTTGTGCTTGTAGCTATTTTTCTCAGACACCTGACTATAGAAGTGGATGTTCAGCCACCTCATCTTCTTCTACCTCCTTCATCATAGTTTAGATGGTTTCATGCAACTGAAGATGGTTATAATAAAAGACTGTAGAAAGTCAAATATCTCTGCTATCTACTACTGCATTACGAACCATCCCAAAACTCAGTAGCTTAAAACAACAACAATCATTTATTTTGTTAAAAAATCTGCCACTGGGACAGAGCTCAGTGGGGACAGTTCACAGAGTTTAGCCAGAATGCAGGATTCACATCCAACGTAGCTCCCTCAAGTGGCTAACAAGTTGGTGCTTACTATTGACTGGGAGCTCAGCCAGGGCTATTGGCCAAGGGCCCAACTCCTCTCCACACAGCCTCTTCTAAAGGCTGCTTGGGCTTCTTTACAGAATGGCAGCCAGGTTCTACAGAAGAGTGGAAGAATCGTGGAAGTGGCTTGTCTGTCAAGGCCTGGGTCTAGGAACTGGTAATACCACAATTCTGGCATATCCTACTGATCCATCAGAGAATCTGTAATAATTCAGGAGGAATACACATAAATGCCATCTCTCAATGGGAGAAATGTCAAGGAATTTACATTTATTTTTAATCTATCGTGGCCTACTTTTTGGCCACAGATTATTTCAATTTCTCCCTTACGCAAAATATACTTATGCCCTGCCAAGGGCCCCAATAATCTTATCCAATTAAGGCATCAACCTGGAGTCCAGGCCCTCATCATCTAAATCAGGCAAACTATGGTCTGTGGGCCAAATCTGGCCATGCCCACACATTCCATGGCCCCTTTCCAAGTTCACAGCCAGCAATGGCTGGGCCAGTCTTTTTAAACAGTGCATCCCTCTGACTCTGACCCTCTTAGCTTCCTCTGTCACTTATAAGAACCCTTGTGATTATATGGGGTCCACATGGATAATCCAGAATTATCTCTCATCTCAGGAGCTTAGACTTAATCCCATCTGCAAAGTCTCTTTTGTCACGTAAGGTAACATAGTCATGGGTTCCGGGGATTAGGATGTGGACATCTTTGTGCTCATTATTTTTATTATATATATTATATCTTATATATTAAGGTCTCCTCTTATTTTTTTACTTCTCTGTCCCTTTCAGTCCAAGCCACTACAATTCCTTTAAAAGTGTTTTACCTTCTCAATTTATAATCCATTTTATTAGACAAAAAGACACCCTGAATTTCTTTCAAGACAGCCCTCTCTCCCTTGAGTCACCTGTGGGACAAGCCCTTAAAGTTTTTTAAAGGACCTATTAGGCATGTCCAGAAATCTGTCTGAGGTCTTAAAATATTCCACATTACTTCAGGCAACAGTTTTGCTAATCTTCCCACTGCTACACAACAAACATCATTTTTTTCTCCAGTTTTCAATGGCATTTTCCTCGCTGTCCTTCAAACTCTCACCCTCAAACTTTCAGAGCCTTCCAACTCCCACCTGCCACCCATACATGTTTTGAGCTTTAGTTACTGTAGCACCTCACTCCTGGTACCAAAGTCTGTTCTCATTTATCTGTTACTGCATAACAAACCATCCCAAAACTTTGTGGCTTATTTTGCTCATAATTCTGCAATATGGGCAGCACTCAGCTGAGATGGTTTACTCTGTTTCATGTGGCTTAACTGCAGCTGGAAAACACATTTCCAGGAGGCTCACTCATTTGATTGGCATGTTGATGCTGGCTGTCAGCTAGGAACTCAGCTGGGGCTGTCAGTGGGACCCCAGTTCCTTTCCACATCAGCCCTTTAGTGGGGCTGCTTGGAATTTCTCACCATATGATGACTGGTCTGCCAGAACAAGTATTCCAAGAGACAGGAAGTAAAAGCTGCCGGTCCTCAAGACATAGAAGAGGATGGAAATGGGCACAACTCCACTGCATTCTATTTTCTCTTGGCCAAGCAATTACAGAGCCTACCCAGAGTCAAAGGGAGGGAACACAGACCACACCTCTCAAAGAGAAGAACATCAAAGAATTTGCAGTCATTTTAATTTGCCCCACCAATGAGCTATTGTCTAATTGTTGCTGTCATAATTTCACATCTACCCACTCCCATTCACTATGCATTCCCGATGAGCACAGCCTGAGTGGTATACCAGACACACCAGGGCTCCAACATCCACTCAGAACCACAGGCACGGCACATCCCTGGCCCAGGTATGTGGTCCTCATCCCCTGTTTCTGGAATACCCTCTAGGCTGTGGGCACCAGCCACTTTGGCCCTTCTCAACCCTCTGGCCAAAGCCTAATTTGTCTTTCTTAGCTACAGACATGCATGGATGGGGAGATGGAATAGCACTCATTGTCTTGGCCTGGCTCTTTTCTCACTAGGAGGACCTCCTCCTTATGGCTTTTCAAACTTTTCCAAATTTTGTCCCTAAGATCTTCTCTGAGCAACTTGCTCCAAAGTACATGAACAGACATTTTCTCCCAGGAGGACTTGCCCTAGAAATCAATGGGTTGTGAGTGATGTAGGGGGAAGGAGAGAATGGAGCTTGAGAACATAGGTACCTTGGTGCGTTGTAGTAGGGAACCACTGATGTCACTCCCTCCTCTATTCCAGGAGCTGGAGTGAGTAATTTTGAAGGCAAATAGAGAATTTGTCTTAGGAAAGAGCTTTTGGAATCCACTGCTCTGAGTATTCTCTGCTTGATGGAGACAGATCCCAGATGGCTGAATATAGCCTTCTTTCTAGGTGATATCTGTGGATACCACCTGAGTGGATACCATCTGAAGATCTGTTGTAAATTTCACTAGCCTCGTGAGCCAGTTTTATCCATAACTAGACGTCAGTCACCTAGATGTCTCAAAGTCCTCCAGGCTTTTGGGGTTATCTTTTTTGCAATGTTTAAGTAGGAATTGACTTAATCCCCTATCCAACGTATGGTGGAAACCCAATTTTTCCTACCCTATTCCCTAATACCTCAGGGATACCTCTTGTAGTCACTAATTTCTTATATCTGCTGATCTCTCTCATGGCTCACATATTTCAATTGTTTCCTATGTTGGTTCCAAATTGATCCAGAACTTTGGTTTCCCCCCTAAAAAAACCCACTCTCACAAAGCAGTTGTACCAGGCCAGTAGTTCTCAAACTTGGCTTTAGAAACACCTGGCAGACTTTTAAATACCCTGATGCTAAGTCTGCTGTCTAGATCAACTCAATAGGAATTTCCCAGGCTTCAATATTTTTTTAACTCCTTTAGGTATTTCAACGTCCCAGAGCTTGAGAATCTCTCAGCTAGCACAGTGCCTCTCATACACCAGTGTGCATGAGAATCATCTGCGGATCTCGCAAAAATGCAACATCTGTTCCTGGGTGTGGGGGGGGGGGCCTCAGACTCTGCATTTCTAACAAGCTCTCAAGTGATGCTGATGCTGCTGATCCCCAGACCACTTTGAGTAGCAAGGAGCTAGTAGCCATGGGGGTTGACAGAGGCCCAGCAAGCAATTTACACCCTTCCTGCTAGACATCCATCAGTGACACCACTATCAGGCACTTCTCAATGACTTCAGAGGCCATCTTACTCCTCTGGTCCCAGCTTCCCTCCTCTCTCCTTTGCCTTGGCTATTCCATATTCTTAGTTCCCCTGCCTTGTCCTTCTCAGGCTGCTTGTAAAAGCATCAGTTTTCCTTCTTTATTGGGCAGATCAATCTAGTCCTCTTTGACTCCTAGCACATCTCAATCTCATTCTATGAGCTTTCTTTCCACACCTGAATGCACTGTCAACAGGATTTACTAATCCCAAGGCAGTACTCTGCCCAAGGAATGCTACCTCCAACTTCTAAACCAGAGGTTCCCAAACTTTCTCAGTTCACAGTGCCCTTAATGTCTGAGGAATTTCTTCACAGAGCATCTAAGACAAAAGAAATGTCTGACAGCTCTGTTTAAGAATTCAGGTTGAAACAACTTAATGATAGTGGTTTGCATGAGTGTAACAGATGTCTATTTTTCCTCAAAAATTTAAACTATCCCATGGCACCCCTGTGATATGCTAAGCCACCCCAGGGCACATTGGTGCACACTTTGGGAACCACTATTCTGAACTAATAATTGGGATAAATGTGACTTCCAAATGTCCTGGCAAGGTAAGAAAACCTTGTAGCAGTGACTCTGTCTGATCCAGATGGGGACTGTTGTGAGGAGGGGGTTTCTGGGTACTGCTTTCCTACCATGAACCGCAACTAGAATCTGGCACAAACAGGCTGACACTCTACTCTCTGCTGTAGCCAAGAGAGTAACTTTATAGATTCATCTCCCAATGGATTTGCAGAGGACTCTGGAGTTAGAATAGTAAAAGAAATTAAACAAAGGCAGGAAAGTAGTTCCTCTCCTGGTAACAACTTGAAAACATGACTCACTTAGCATCAGAAAATCTGGGAGGGTTGCTCAACTATTATCAGAAAGCTGTGTCACTTGTTGGTGCAAACTGTTTCCAGTTAGGAGCCCAACCCTATAACACAGTGATTCTCAACCCTGGCTGCATATTAAAATCAGTCGGAGCTTTCAAAAGATACTAACTCTGGGCCCCACCCCAAGCCAGTTGAGTTAGTCACTGGGGATGGGACCCAGAGATTTATAATTTTTAAAGTTCCTCAAGTGATCCCAAGATACAGCCAGGGTTAAGCGCATGGCCCATGGATCCACTGCACTAATGTCACCTAGGAACTTGTTATAAACGCAGTCTTGGGCCCCATTAAAGACCTACTGAATCAGACTACATTTTAACAAGGTCCCCAGGTAATTCACGTGCTTTTTAAAGTTTGGGAAACTCCTCCAGCCACAAAGAATCACAAAATGTCAGCACTTTCGGAGATATTACTGAATCCCGTCTGTGTACCACGTCTTTGGGAGCCCAGAGAGCTTACATAACTTACCGTGTCACCCTGCACACTGGTAGTGAGGCTGAGATGAGCACTCATGTCTGGTGACCTCCATCCCACCTGGTGCTCTCTCCTGTGGGAACTGATACATGATGCAAAAGCACCAGGAAGTGGGGATTTGAATTCCAGGGCTCTCCAACTTGTTTCTAGCTCTGTGACCTACAAGAGGTCTCTCAACTTCAGATTCTTCATCTGTAAAAAGGAACTGAAAATACTCACCCCATGTCCTCTGAAGTCTCATGGTGAGGATGTGCTGAGTCGTGTATGCAAAAGGGCTTTTACGCTGTAAAGTGCTGTGCAGGTCCAAAAGGGAACTGAGGTCGTGTCCCTCCAAACCCACAGTACAGCATGACTGTGAGCCTGCTCTGCTCCCAGGCACCGGAAGTTGAGTTTCTTAGAGCCAGGCTACTCAAAGTATGGTCTGTGAACCAGCAGCATCCCCTGAGAACTTGTTAGACATGTAGGAGCCTCAGGACCCACCAGACCTACTGAATCAGAATCTACATTTTAGCAAGACTCCCAGGTGATTCCTGGGAATCCATGTACATGGGAAACAAAATATGGCAAGTGGCCAAAAATACATTGTTATTTGTTAGGCAAACCACAGAACTGCTTTAGTGGGCTAAAATCTAAACAGAATTCCATTGTGAATTGGAATGATCTGGCCCTGTGACATTAAGGCAACATTCCCAAGGAGAGATAGGGCAAGGTCCTGTAGGTATTAGGGGCACTGGGGATGGTTTCCTGGGGTTGGAAGTTTCCATAACCAATATCCTCTAATCTATGCAGGTTCTGCCTCCCTCCACCTCTCTCATTGTGTTAATTCTCAGCTTGGGTGATATCCTTTTTGGATGGGAGCTCAGCCATGAACACTGACCATGAGTCTTGCGAAGAAAAGCATGAATCCCAGCCAGAGACAGAATGTAAGAAATCTCTTCAAAGCCATCCTTGGCATCAAAAAGTGGCTCCCAAACAGGAACGTGTTAAATTCTGTCTACGGAAATGATTCTTCTTTTGTCCAATTTGCAAAAGAACTGGGCTCCAGGAATTTTCCTAGCATGTTATGTAAACAGGGACAGTACGGAAAGTGGTGGAAATGGACATATTGTGATTCAGGACCCCAAATGTGTCAGGAGTAGACAGGTTTCACACATGGGCTCAGACGAAAGATTTTAAAGCACTGCTTCTCCCATTGACTGGTGTGCAGCAACTAAACTCCCCACTCTGCCACACACAAAGAAAAAGGACCGAGATCCTTCATGTTGAAAGGCGTACCTAAAGCTCCAATCTCCAAAGCGAGAAAGGTGATCCTCCTTCAGATGAGAGGGAGTCTAGGGAGGTCAACATTGGCAAAACTCTTGTTTTGCCTCACAAAATATTTTCAAAAAATGGCTCTGAGAAGTCCTGCTTTAAGGAACCTGACTTAACATTGTTCAATCCAGAATCTCTCAAAATTATTGGACCTGGAACCTCCTTAGGAGCATTAGCACTTTTCTGTGTGAGTGTTCTTCAGATGGTGCTTTGGGAACTGCAGAAGTTAAGCATCCCAGGCTAATGGAATTGCACTTGCTAACCTGTTGTCTTTGACTCCTATCGTCAGCAAGAGGCACCCTGGTGACGGACCTCGGCCTTCCTTCGGAGGCTTCCAGCCACTCAGGTGATTGTCCAAGGGGTCCTGGGGTGAAAGGGAAGGGTGGTGGGTAGCTAAGCCTCCCCAAGGAGGTGAGCGACTCTCTCCCAGGGGCATCTAATGAATAGTGGGAGGGAGCACCCCAGCCCTTGCATTTTCAGCTTTGAGAATGTTAACCTTTTGGGGAAGAATAAGCTCAGGAGGTTAACACAGGACTTGGTGCTCTGACGAAGTGATAAGAAACTCACATTTATTGAGCAAGTATATACCAAACTCCAGGCTGAGTTCTTTCCATAAGGGAATTAATTTAATTCTCACAACAATTTTACTAGAATATTACTATATTCCCACTTTTCCAATAAAGAGTGAGCATCATAAATGTGAGGAACTTGCCCAAGACACTCAGCTAGCAAGTAGCAGAGCCAGGGTTACCAGTCCCGATTCCACTCTGGGGGTCTTTCCATCACATGTGGCAGGAAGACCTCAGTTTGAGTCCCAGAATGTTTCCATGGGTCCTGTACTTCCTCATCTGTAAAGTGCTCTAAAGATCCGATGATAGAAAGCAAGTAAGAGATGAGAGCTCACAGCTGGCCCAAGTCCTCGCAACCTGGAACTCAGGCCCTGGCATAGGACCCCTGGGCAATGACTTTGTGTGTAGAAGCCAGTATGCCAAGAACATGGTGGGGCCATGCACAGAGGGTCCTGTGAACATGCCCTTTGTGCTCATACAGACAGGCAAAGAAGACTTTCACTTGTCTTTTGGCTCTCACAGGCTGGTGGGGGAGGGGAGAGAGGACAGACATCCAACGCTAATTTTGACTTAGTGTGTATTTGTAATGGCTGCTGTAGAAGGCAGCATAGGTTGCTATAGGAATACGGAGAACCAGCCTATGCTGAGGGATGGAATTGGGAGATAGGTCCAAGAGGAGGTGATGCCTGCACTGAATCTTGAAGGAAAAGTTGGAATTACCCTGCAGGATAAAGGAGGAAAGCCATTCCATGCAGAAGGAACAGCGTAAGCAAAGGTGCGGGGGAGGATATGGGAAGAGAAGGAGTTTGGGACAGCTGAAGCATGAAGCGAGAGTGGAGGAATGGTAGGGATGCAGGCTGAAAGAGCTCAGGTGATGAAGACCCGTCCACCTGCTGGAACGACCACGCCATTGTGATGCAGGACAGGGCTGAGTCCTAGGCTGCCTCGTTTGGCAGTGGACAGTCCTACCTTAGTGATGGTGATTTCCTTCCTGTCTGTGCTAACCACAGAGTGCATCTGTGATTCAAGTTTGGTAAAGGATCAGACGTTTACTTCCATTAGATCTTATAGGTACCAGCTAGTGTCGAAGCATCCCATTTTTTTTAGTACTCAAGTACTTTTTATTCCATTTTTTGTGTGTCTGTTTTTTCCCAAAAATACAATTCAAACTTGAGAATACTGATAGATTTTATCTTCAGTTGGTTTCAGTCCTCATTGTTTCATTCCCCAACAAAAGTCGCAGATGGCTTGTGCCAGAAGAGCCCTCAGAAACATACTGATAACTTCCTCCAGCCCAGAGACGCCGACTCGGCAAATACTAATCAAGTGCTGGTTACTGAAAGCCCCACCCAGGGCCCTACGAGAAACATCAAATGAGTCAGAAATGACTCCTATACAAGCACGCAATTACTGCAATACAAGATATTGCAGGACTGCTGCCCTTCTCCAGCACAGAACAAGAGCTGGGCAGCTCAGAGAGGAAAAGGTCACTCCCAATAAGGGATTGAGAGAGGAATTGAGGAAGGAGGTGGCATGCGAGCCGGGATTTCGGGACAGGGACGAGGAGGATAGTAGGTGACAGGGAGGAGGGCACAAAGGACGGTTAAAGGCATCATGATCACAAGTGAGTAGGAAGCAAGACTCTGTGTGTGTTTACATTTATGTATGTATTTAATTATATAGTATAATTACTAATCTACAGGATAGTCTACCTCATTATCACATTTTACATCTGTTGTGCCAAATAGACTCAAACATTGGTGCTCTATGTGGGCTCGTACCTTCCCCCATGCAAAGCCTCAGTTCAGTCACTGAAGAATGGTCAATTGACCTAGCAGAGGTGGCATAGCAACAAATTCTTGGTCTAGGATTGCCCGCTCTAGGCAGGGCCAACTGGACTGAATGCCTAAACTCCCCCATATTCAAGCAAATCCTTGGCCACTCCTGCAGCTGGTCCTGCCCATTCAGACTCCACAAGGGCAGGGACAACCCCTCCACATTTTCCTCAAAACTCCTGCCATTTCCATCCCCTTCCTGACACAAAGCTTCTGCTCCTGGCTGCTTCCTGCCTTACCTCATCCTCCCCACACTTCCACTGTTCTCACCATGGGCCCAGATGGTGCTGAACTCTGCAGAGATCCATGCCACCCAGACATTTCTGATAGCATGGGCCCACCAGTGAGAGGGTGCAGCAAAGAGGGTTATCAATACTACTACTAATGATAATAATGATGAACTTCCATTGGATGTTATCAATACTACTAATCATAATGATGAACTTTCATTGAATCCCTCCATCTTCCTCACATCAACCCTGTGTAAGATAGCTCTTCTTACCCCCATTTTACTGGTGGGCAAAATGACATTTGGAGAAGTCTAGTAATTGTTCAGCTTGAAAATGACTGAACAAGGATTTGACTCCAACTCAGTCTGACTCCAGTGCACAAGTGGTTAATCAGGAAAGTTCGTCTATAGGTAGAGTAATGAGATGGAGTAACAGGAAAAACTAATGAGAGGAAAACATATTGTCTGGGCCCACTGAGCAAGTGGGGATATGAGAATGGTGAACTGAAGCAGGTTAATTGTTCATAATCTCAGGTACTGTTTTTCAGATTCAACAATCAAATCTATAAAGTTAATGAAGTGTACTATTCGAGACCCAAACCAGCAAGTTCTTGTCCTAGAAAATGGGGTCCTCAAAGCAGTTCCAGACAAAGGCACCACAACCCCAGGTAATTCTCAACCTTGCTTTACTCAGCAGAAGTGGTTCCTGTGCTCTCTCACTCTCCCTTGGCTGTATTAACCCCCTCACCCAATAGGGGCAGCTCAGCTACTCCCCTCTCTGCCATGGGCAAAAGCCTGCTTCCTGGGGAAACTGCCTCAAGGGCCAGCTGATGGCAGGCAACAGTTAGGGTGGGGAGATGGGCCCAGAGAAGTCTCTGATCTTAAAGACATTTCCCTGGAAGGGGTGGAAAGAAGGAGCCAGAGGCATAGGGAAAGGGAAATTCCAAGAATTTCCCATCCTTGGCTCCTGGGCCAACTCAGGTGTGAGAATTTGATGACATTGCCAAAGGGAAGAGGGTTGTTGTACTTGAAACATCAACAGAAAAAAAGATTATTTTTCTACTCACCAGTTTTCTGACTTTTTCCAGAGACCTTTTATATATCAACTTCACAATTAAGTACAACTAGTATCAAGAAAGAAAATCATATTTTTTTGGCTGTCTCTAAAGGAGAGCTCTGTCTCCACTGCGACACAGTCAAAGATCCAGAGCATCCCTCTTTGCAACTAAAGGTAAGAGATCTGGGAAAGAAATTTCCCCACCCTCCTGCCCAGGGAAGTGGGGAGCCTTAAGGTTAAGGCTGAAAACCTAAATTTTGGCAAAGACTGCCATGAACTTTCCTTCTTTCCTTCACAAAGTAGCCTGGCTACCTCATAAATTCTCCTTCTTCTTTCAGAAAAAGAACATCAAAGAACTGAACTCACTGAACAGTAAGGAAAGTCTGCCCTTCACTTTCCTCAAGGAACAGATTGGCTCCTATTTCACCTTGGAGTCAGCTGCGAATCACGGATATTTCATCTACACCTCCAACATTCCCAGGCAACCTGTGGGAGTGACGAAAGATCTAGGGAAAGAAAAAAACACACAATTTGAATTTGAAAATATCAGTGTGAATCTCAGTGTAGTACAAGATGGAGTATACAAACTAACAATGGCCAAACCATGCATGACAATGGAACTCTAACTCTCAACTTCTGTAGTAATTGCCCAGAATCAAGATTTGGTCAATAACTGACAACTTTTCTACTTTTATCCCCACTTCCAACTCAGGACCAATCAGAAAAAACCAACTATGCTCTCCAAACCAATCACAGAGGATGCCCCGCCTCTAGCTTCCTCAGGCCAACTCCAATCAAAGCACTCCTGAAGCCCTCCCATCTTGGCCACCATAAAGCTTTCCCACTCCTCTCCCTGCCTATGAATCACTGCCAAATGCAAGTGATGGTGGCTGACTCTTTTGCTAGAGCCAGCTCTGAGTAAAGAGATGCTGCTTGTTCTCATTTGAGTGGTCTTTGTTTATTTCCAGAGAACAGCAAATAAGAAAATATCTTCTCCCTATAACATGTTGTCTTCACCCAGCAAGCACATGGGCTTTGTTTTCAGTGTCATTTGTGCCTGTAAAGTGTATGTAGTTTGGGATATAAAAAGTACAGTGTGGTTAATTACAAACTTCTACGCTGAAATAAATTTCTGGGGAGCGAGGATCTCAGTGCCTGTGGGTTTGCTGCTTTTCTAAACAGTCTGACCTCACTTGGGTGCCTGTTTCTCAAGATAGAGCCAGGCCATACTGGTTATCTCCTCCAGGAGGGCAGCCTGGATAATGCAAGCTCTAAAATTAGCGATGCAAGTAGAGGCTGGATGAATTCTAGGGAGGCTGATCCTGCTGCAGGTGTAAACAGAGAGGTTCAGTGGGGTCCAGGCCCCAAGGGATATGGCAAGGCACTGTCTGTGAGTCCTCAGTGGGAGAAAATGGGGCAATGGATGTGAACAGGTGGGAGGAGTCAGTGGCAAAGAATCCGGAGCAGGTGGCAGACAGAAGCAGCTTCTGGGAGGTCTGAAGACAAGCAGCAGGGCGCTCATCTCTCATCTGGGTGTAGATCAAAAGAAAGACAAGGTCCAGATCCTAAAGTAGGGTCAGAGTGCCAGGTGGGCAATCAGAACAGGAACTGAGGCCCCAGGCAAAAATTTGGGGGCAGGGGAGGTTGGAGGCTTGTATGGGTTTGGGTTCTAGGGTTGCATGCAACAGACGTAATGCTTAAAGTCTGGAGTGCTTCTCACCCACACAGAAACTATTATCTACAGATGGGAGAGCCCAGTGAAAATCTGGGGTCTGGAGGTGAGTGTCTTCTTTTGTGATGTTGCTGATCTTTCCCCCTCCGTAACCTTCAGAAAGACAAACCTTGTTTGTGTCATCTTAAGACTAAAAGCCAACCATTTATGGAAACTCTAATTATGCCTTTCTTTTATAATTCACTGAGCTATGCAATTACTCTCTAACTGAAAGTCTTGATACTTACAAAATTTGCTTACTCATTGGATTTATCTGCTGATATAAAGTCCAAAATAGCGTGACTAATATCAAGACTAAGAATAAAACGACTTGATGACTCGCATGATTTAACATTTGCATGGCCTTTGTCTTTGACTACACTTCAAAGAAAATGGACAATCAAAATTACTTTGCATTTGCAATGCTTTCAAGAGTTCTCCCTTCTATATGATTGTGTAAGTGCTCTCCTAGTATTTCATTCATTGGAACTGTTTGCATTTACTCTCATTTGGAGAGTTCTAGCAACCGACAGTTCTTGTTTGGCAGTGGCATTTAGCCAGTGATCTGGGTTGTGAAAGGTCCTTAACTTAATGATGCTGCCTTGAGATCATTCAGAGTGGGCTCAGATGAGATTATAAATGTCCTTAGTCTAGTACTTGCTGGCTGACTGACTTGACCTAACTCTTAAAGGACCATGCCTGATCTATTTGAATAAACATATTTGTATATTTATTCTTAAAGGACCATGCTTGATAAAGATGTGGGGCCCCGATCCTATCTACTGTGCAAGTTGCCACTTTGCGGCTTCTATGGTCCATACAGAAGCAGTTGGCTTTCTCAGTCCTGCAGAGCTCCAAAAAAAATGGGACTTGCAGTGAGCTTAGATTGCAGGCTGCAGACGAGCCCCTTCCCTAAGCAAAGTAGTGTTTCCTTCCATCTTTGTTTGCCATCTGGTGAGTGTTGGTCTGAGTCCATCCTTCTCTTGAGAGACTTTGTGGATCAAGCCAGGAAATAACTGGCATACACCAACATTCTGAAATTTGCCAGCCCTTTCTTCCTTTCTGCAGCCTTGGGTAATACATGGGCTGTGGCTACAGTTTCAGAAAGTGGATCAAGGGCCAGTATCTGCTTTGGGGTTGTGTAAAGAAGAATAAAACAGTTTCTCTCCCCAATTTTCTAAGGAAGAGATACCGGTTGTCTCACGCCGTAAATGTGCCCAAGGCCCGTTCTCATTCATTGCCCTTCCAGCATCACTTGTTTTACCTGTCAGGTCAGGAAATGTGTTTTATGCATGTCAGGATACAGGGTGGAAGAAGGATGGGTGGCAGGGGCTCCCTGTGCTTCTAAAGCACTCTTCCCTCCCTTTACCCCTCCATAGAAAAGGAGGTTCCCAAAGGCATATAGATGGGATATTCAGGGTACCACAGCCTGGGGTGTGAAAAACCATCCCTGCAAGCTATGGAGACATAGCTGGCTCCATGCTGTCCACATCTCTCCCTTTTCTCCATCTTTGCTTTTTTCTCTATCAGTAAAGGAAACTCATCAAGTCCCCTCAAAGATGACAGAAAGTTCTCCCACTTTGAGCCTAGCTAACACCCACTCTTTCTTCTATCTTGCTCAGGTGTTTCTTCCTCAAAGAAGCCCCTCTGATTTCCTGGCTGGGGTACACACCCCCGTCATGCACCAGGCACTGCTTCTCCATAGGCACTTGTGGTTGGCCTGATTAACATCTGTCTCCCCACCAGACTGTAACTTCCTTGAGGACAGAGCTGCATCTGAGTCTGCTCAGCCTTTCATCCTCAACACCTAACACAGAGCCTGGCACAAGCACTTCTGAATGAATGAGTCAACTGATGGAGGCCTCACCAGGCAGCCCACACTGTCCAGGCTCTGAGTGAATAATCCTCTCTCAGCAGCTGTGTTCTGCTGGATGCATCCTTGCTGTGGACAGTGCATGGTCACCAGACAGGCAATGCAATGAGATTTCTCTGTGGTTCAAGCTTACATCACCTGGAGTAGGACATTCCTAGTGGTTCGTGTTTAAGCCTAGACTGAACACTAGTGCTGATGCCCAATAACCCGGAAATAGCTCTCAGCCAGAAAGGCACATTATCATTTTCTAATGTATGGGGAGGAGGCAGCGTTTCTGAAAGTGTAGACCAGAAAGAAACACTTGAATCAGAATGACTCGGGGGCTTTTTAAAAACGCAGGTAGATTCCTGGGCTACATCCCAGAAATGCTTAAATGTGCAACCCTGAGAATGTGTATTTTTAAGAAGCTTCCCAGGTGATTTTTAAGCACAGTTGTGTTTTAATGAATGAGCTCTGTAGTAGGAATCAGAACACTTGGAATTCTGCCACTTACAATCTGGGTGACTGTGGTCAAGTTACTTGTCTCTGAGTCTGTTTTCTCATCCATGAAATGGGCACAAAAACTCCCCCCTGCCCTCCTCACAGCATTATGGGGATGCAACAATCACTCAATGCATGTGAAAATTACCTTGCAGACCAGAAATCACCATGACCAAGACAGTCTCCCAAATGGTGCCCTCTGCCTGCTCTGCAAAAAGAGACTGTCCCTGACCCATTGGGTCAACTGACGTATGATCCTGCCTCAAGCTCCTGAATGGAGCTGTTCAGACATAGCACCTTCTGCAAGAGGGCTGTGGGGAAGTAAAAGGTAGTGTCAAAGTCTCCAGATCCCCCAATTAGGTGGAATTTGGAATGCATTTTCCTGCTGAAAATTGCCAAGAGAAGCTGGGCCAAGTAAAAAAACAAAACAAAATGAAACAAACTAGTGTTACTTTTGCAGTAAAAAATAGTGTAGGCTTTTGTGAGAGAAATGGAGAACCCAACCATCATGCATTGCAGCTCTCTGATGGAAGCTGTGCTTGAAGTTCCAGACTGACTCAGGGATGAATGTCTGGAGGCTGCATACAGTCTATGGTCTCTTGCCCTATAGAGCGGGAGTCAGCAAAGTTTCTGTTAAGGACCAGATAATAAATATTCTAGGCTTTGCAGGCTGAGAGGCTATAAGCTTTATTGTTGCAGCATGCAGGCAGCCATAGACAACCAGTGAACATGGCTGTGTTAGCAAACCATACAAAACAAGCAGTGGGCTGGATTTTGCCTGCAGGCTACGGTTTGCCAACACTTGCTCTAAAATGAAGATGTTACAGGTGGTTGCAGTGGTGTGCTACAGCCAGCTTCTATCAGCTTGCAAGAGCCAATTGTTAGCATCTCTTACCAATGATAGGGTTCAGGGCAGGCTGCCCCAAGATGCACCACTCTGGTAGGCGGATTATTTTGAGCTGAAGACAATAAAGGCTCAGAAGTCTCAGGAAGAGCATCTGACCTTCCCCTCTCAAACTGCCTAAAAGAATTTAGCATAGAAGGCCTGTTCCAGGAAGGAGCTCATACCACACGATAGCTACAGTATGATAGAAAATAGGTGTGATAAAAGGACACCAACAAACCCATTTTTTTGGCCCAGCAAAACCTGTTTAACAAACATTTGCATACCATCTCTATGTAAATTGTCTTCCTCCCCTTTGAAGGCCCAAATCACTATCACTAACGTCCTCCTTGTCTGTAGCTGAAGATATTTAAACAGGCAGCCTCAGCCAGATGGCTGAGTTACTCAGTTTCCCTGGGTTTCTCACATGTATACATGCTATTAAACTTTGATTTTTTCTCCTGCTAACCTGCCCTTTTGATTATTTGACCAGCCATAAGAACCTTAAGGAAAAGTGGTGGGGGTGGGGGGAATTCTCCCACTTCCCCAACACCAACTCCATGTTTAGTGACTTCACGTTGGCAGTTTGAAGTTGGCCATGTAGGGAGTCTTATGCCATGGAAACTGGCAAGAGCTTCATATCAGAGCTCCCTCCCACTACCACCCATCCCCAGAGAACTGGTTGTTAAACATTTGCCAGCGAATTGCTAGGTAAGTGTCTGCTGGGATGGGGGTGGAGGGCAGCAGTTGGGTGAGCCAGACAATGCATTGGAATATGAGAAAGAACTAGTAAATGTACTATTTACTTAGTCCTTTTAAATTCTAATTTTGTATAAGTTTCATAACGCACTAATGCCCTCATTTCAAGATGTGTCCTCAACATTGTTTAATTGATTGGCGTAACTGGGATCAAAAATGCCTGGGGTGCACCATTCCAAAGGCTGTCTGTTACGCTCTCTGCTGGGTAACTCATTCCCCAGCAGAGTGCAGGATGGATAAGGGTCTTCTCTTTCCATTCCCAACACAGCCTTCCCCGTGCCTCCACCTGCCTCACCCTGCCCCAGGACCTTGGATGGGGGCAGGAAGAGTGGCCAGCTGTGAAACGAACCTCTGGTTAGGGTGCTCCTGCAGGTTTACTACTGCAGATTAAATGACCTGAGATTACCCTTTTACAAGCATAGAGAATTCCTTGAGGTGAACAGCTGGAATGTTGAGTGTTACAGGTTGAATTGTGTCCCCCAAAAAAGACATGTTGGGGTCCGGCCCCATGGCACAGCAGTTAAGTTGCATGTTCCGCTTCTCAGCGGCCCGGGGTTCACCGGTTCGGATCCCGGGTGCGGACATGGCACAGCTTGGCAAAAGCCATGCTGTGGTAGGCGTCCCACATATAAAGTAGAGGAAGATGGGCATGGATATTAGCTCAGGGCCAGTCTTCCTCAGCAAAAAGGGGAGGATTGGCAGTAGTTAGCTCAGGGCTAATCTTCCTCAAACAAAAAAAGACATGTTGAAGTCCTAACCCTTGGTATCTGTGAATGTGACCTTATTTGGAAAGCGACTCTTTGCAGGTGTAATGAAGTTAAGGTGAGGTCATTTGGATGGGCCCTAATCCAATATGACTGGTGTCCTTGTAAGAAGACAGAAATCTGGACACTGACATACACAGAGGAGAATGCCATGTGGAGACACAGAGACACAGGGAGAAGAAGCCTATGTGGCAATGGAGGCAGAGATTGGAGTGACGCATCTACAAGCCAAGGAATGCCAAGGATGCCAACAAACACCAGAGGCTAGAAGAGGCATAGAATCGATTCTCCTTCAGAGCCCTCAGAAGGAAGCAACCTGCCAACACATGATTTCACACTTCCGGCCTCCAGAACTGTGCGAGAATACATTTCTGTTGTTTTAAGCCGCCCAGCTTGTATTACTTTGTTACAGCAGCTCTAGAAAACTAATACATTGGGATTCTCATGTGTGATATATAAGGGCTAAAACTTTTTCACTGACACCCACACCCATGATTACAATGACAGTTAGGAAAAGGAAATTCAAAACACTTGAGTTTGTTTCATACACGTTTTCCAGAATGCATCTGCTTTGCAGGAGAAGTCGTATCAGCTGCAGTAATGAGAAGACCATGATTTAAATAGCAACCCTTCCTTTCTTCCCTCTCTCCCTCCCTGCCTTCCTTCCTCCCTCTGGTCTTTCATCCTTTCTCCATTTATAAAAAACTTAGAATGTCTACAAGTGCCAGGCACGATGTTGGTTCTTGGGATACATCAGAGAGCAAAGCACTCCTGGAACTTACATTCTAGTGTAAGACACAAACAATAAACATAATAAATAAGTAAATTATATAGTATGTTAGAGGGACAAAAAACAGGGTCAGGTGAAGGGGGGTTGGTAGCGCTAGGAGTGGGAAGCAGCTCAAAGCATTAAATGGGATGGAACACCTACTTGATCACCATAACCATGTCCTGAGCTTTCCAACAATAAAGTCAATGGCGCACAGAGGCCTCATACTTCGGCAAGGTCCTGGTACATGTGTGATCTCTGTGGAGCACTGCAGAAGCCCTTGTTGCCAGTGCCACAGAAACTGGCTATGTGTCACCAGGTTGGAAGGAAGTGGAGCAGGATGGAGACTGGGCCATGCCAGTCTCCATTTGGGCCAAATGGTTGCCTCCTCAAGGCCATGGTCAGCACACTTCATCTCTGGTCCATAAAGGGAGCCAGAGCCCTCACTCCCATGGGACAGCCCTAGCTCAGAGGCTAATTTGAATAATTGTGTCTTGTTGTGAAGAGGTTCTGTAATGTTATGAAGAAGACATCATACTCCCACAAGCATCATTGTCACCTGGACACATTCTCAAACACTAAAAATACTAAATACTTTTCTACCACTGGCCTTGTGTTGGTCAACATCATTATCAGATCAGAAACAGAAGCAGCTGACCTTGGGCCTCATCTCCCTTGACCCTCAGAGACTGTGGTACTATCATACTCCTAGTTAAAACTGAGGGGACTCGAGGAGGCATCAGTTCGTCTTCCTGTCCGACATCCACACCTGCTCCTGAGATCAGCTCTCCAATTCAACTTTGAGGACCCTCACTGGCCTCCTTGGAAACATGAAGGAGTATCTTGGAGAAAGTGTTGATCAAGGTATGCTGCCTTTAACTGACCAAGGAGTGGACACATGACCCAAACTAGGGCAGTCACATGCTCTCCTTGGAATCTGAATCTTTTCCTAAGTGACAAAAAACATGATTGATCCTTAGCCATCTGAGTGTTGGGGCCAAAGCTTCCCTAGCTCATGTTATTTCTGACCTGTGGGAAATTTCTGACTATGGTTCTTCAGCATGTCCTTCATGTGCCAGGCTGAATAATGTCCCCCAAAGATGTCCATGTCCTAATACCCAGAACCTGTGAATGTGTTACCTTACATGTCAAAAGGGACTTTGTAGATGTGTTTAAATTAAGGACCTTGAGCTGGGGTTTATCCTGGATTATCCAGGTGGATTATACGGGCCTAACGTAATCACAATAAGTGAAACGTAATCACTTATAAGCGAAAGAGGAAAGCTGGAGGGTAAAAGTGATACAACGTGAGAAAGACTCAACCAGCCAATCCTGGCTTCGAAGATGGAGGAAGGGGTGACAAGCCAAGGGATGCAGATGACACCTAAAAGCTAGAAAAAGCAGGAAATTGATTCTTCCCTAGAGCCTCCAGAAGGGATGCAGCCCTGCCAACACCTCAATTTTAGCTCAGTGAGTCCCATTTTGGACTGACCTCCAGAAAGCTAAGATAATAAATTGCATTGTTTTAAACCACTGAGTTTACGGTAGTTTGTTACAGCAGCAATAAGAAATGAATATGCCCAACAGCCATTTAGTAAGCTCCTGTTTGTTTTAGTATACTTTTGTGTGTGTGTGTGAGGAAAATTGTCACTAAGCTAACATCTCTGGCCATCTTCCTCTATTTTGTATATGGGACGCCGCCACAGCATGACTTGGTGAGCAGTGTGTAGGTCCTCACCCAGGACCCGGGCCCACAAACCCCAGGCCACTGAAGCAGAGCACAGGAACTTAAGCACTACATCACTGGGCCAGCCCCTGTTTTGGTATACTTTTTGCTTAAGTAGCCCTGAATCAATTATAGCTGCTTGTAACTGAAGAACCGTAACTAGTACACAACTAATTCCCAAGCCTCTCCCTCTCCTCACCCCTCGCTCTGCTTCCAGGTCCTGGGTTTCTGTCCGGCCAGCCTGCCCATCACCCTTTTCTCGGATCTATGCCCAGCTTAGCGATGGACCTTGCCCTTGTTGACAGACCTCTCAGAGGCCGACTGGCTGCTCACCAGATCTCTGGTCTCCTAACTGTCACTTGACTCAGATTCCTTGTCTCTGTGCCTCTCCCACATTTGGGTCACCCTGCTCCTTGTCTGAGACCCACCCTACCCTTTTCCACTTATCCCTTGACTAGATGGTGACTTGCTGTTGCTTTTCTTCTTGTCACACTGGACGCTAGAGACAGACTAAACAACATCAATGCACTTCCACTCCAGGGTCAACCCCTCAGCTCATGTCAAACACCAGTAAGAATGGCTAATTCTAGAGCATAGCATCAGTGCAGCCGCTCCTTCCCATGGCAAGTTCAGGCTCTGCCTGGCTAAATCCTGCAAATGCCACAGCCTATGGATGACTGACAGTTCAGGAAGCAGCACACGGGCAGAAGCCGGGCTCGTTCCAACCAGAACTTTATTTCATCTAAGAACTCTACAATTAATCAATCATTTTATCTATGACCTAAAGACATGAATTCTCAAAGTACTAATGAGAAATGAAAAATGTTAACAAGTAGGCTCCACGTTCTTCTGCGCTTGGTGTGAGAGAGGAAAGTACAGGAAGGCATTGCATAGGGCAGTTTTCTACTCAGTGGCCTCAATGGGGCTCATTTCAGCTTTGTGAACTCGCCGGAATGAAAACTCAGTGTGTTCCCTTTTCCCAAGAATATCTGTCATTCCAACAGGTTCACCAGAATTGCAGGAGGTGCAAATGAACCATCCAGGGTGGGTGACTGACTCCAGTGTGTTCTTGGAGCCCACCTCAGCCCTATAAAAGATGAACGGTTGACGTGCTTGTTCCTTCTCGGTAGCCAAGTCAGTCAGTTTTTTCTTCTATGAGGTAAAAGAGATTAATCAGACAGCAGTCTTTGAGAGAAAACCCAGCATGTGTGCTCCTGGAGAACAGAACCAAAAAGGAGGGCAGGAACCTCTTCTACCCAGTGCTTCCAGAAGCGAGGATGCTCCTGTTATATTGGCCAAGATAAGACTTTGTGGAGAGTGAGAGGTGTTGAGGATCTTGGCCTTCCACTTTGGGGTGGCTGAGGGAAAGGAAATTGAACTGGAAGCTCACCTTCAGCTGAAGGGATGGCTTGCTTTGTCCTTTGTCCTTCTCACAGCAGAGACAGAGCTCTCCTTTAGAGACTGCCAGGAGAATTGGACTTCCTTTCTCTTCACAGGCTGAGCTCAAGTGGGAAGCTAGTACAAAGAAGGTCTCTGGGAAAAGACAGAGAAATGGGTCTGTCCTCAGAGCAGGGAAAAGGCCCTCTTGTCTGCCAGGGTTTTAGGCATGATGCATAATCGTCCCCCATTGGCTCTGTGATCAAAGCTGCCTCCTTCACTCTAGTCCAAGCCTCCTCTTCCTCCACAGTCTGGCTCCTTCTTTCTGCCAACCCTTCTAGAAAGACCCCCCCCTCACATCTGGCCGTTGTTACACAATCTGCATGCAATCCCTAGTGGTCTCTGGAGCTCTTCTGCCCTGCTGCCCACCACCTGCTGGAGCTGGAGGCATGGTACGGCCTGAGCTGCGCCTCTCAGAGGAAGGCCTTACCCCAGCTGAGGGGGGACAGAAACCACAGCTGAGACTGAGAGTCACCTGGGAGGATGTAGGGTCTATCCGGAACTGCTCTGAGGATCCCGCAGTCCAGGACCAATACTTTGTGATCTTGGTCATAAATGCTGAATTTCTCCGGGGCTTTGGCCGTCACTTTTGGAGCTAGATCAATATAACCAGATATCAACACTTCTCATAGGGAACAGAAAACTCAATCCTTTCTAGCCCATCCCCAAGAGCCCCAGCCCCAACTCTCTGCCCTGCCTGTGGGCTTGGACATCACAGCCCACTGAAGATTTCTCCCACCCCGAAGCTTTCTGCCTTGCTCAGGACAAGCAATTTAGCATGTATGTGAACACATGGGTTCCCAATTTTGACAGATGGGTTCAAATCCAAGCTCTGTCACTTGCTGCTTTAGGACCCAGGACAAGTTACTAAATCTCTCCAAACCTCAATGTCCTCCTCTGTGAAATGGGGGTAGTAATAGCACCTCCCTGAGAGGGGTGTTGGGAGGATTAAAATGCTTACTCAAAAGAGTAACTTAGCCAGGTGCCTGAGCTATTGAAAGGACTCAGTAGCTGTTAATCACCATTCTTCTTAACCCTCTTTCTTGCACCCTCTCAGTGGTGCCATCATGCCATCAGCAATGCCTAGGGTTGGACAGATCCCTGCACTGACGGGGCCAATGGAGGGTCAGTGGAAGAGTAGGCAGTGAGAGATGGAGACAGGAAGCACCCAGGAGCCCAGCGTCATGCAAGAGTGAGCTGGCAGTGCAGGGGCTCCTTCAAAACCTGGAAGGCTTGCACCTGGCCCTGGAGGAACCTCTTTGAACAGGCAGGACCAGCCACAACAGCGGCCAGGGGATTTCCCAGGGCATTCAGGCCATTCCTGCCTAGAGGTGGGGTCCTACACAGGGAATCTTCCCCACTGGGCCTCTGATTGGGTAGGTGACCTGCCCCTCAGTAAGGAGCTCAGGCACTTGTTTGATGGAAGGCAGGAGCCCACATGTGGGCCAATCACTGTCACGGATGGGTGGTTGCAAAATGTCAAATATGATAATACAGTGACCACTGCGCCAAGTGATTCTATAATATAACTATCTGTGATAGGCAATTATCACGTAGGGATGAAATCTGAAGTCTCATTCTCCTCCCGTGCAGTTAGCACAAGGCCTCTGGCTGCTCTCTCAGCTTGGAATGTCCTCCTGGTCTCCTTCTGCCCTGAGATTGGGGGGATGACTCCTGTAACACTGGCTCTCCTGCCACCTCCTCCCTGAAGCCCTCCTCAGCCCCTTCTGCATGGGATGGCTTCCTCTCTGGGCTGCCACAGCTCTGTGCATTCATCCTGTAGCACAGGTGTTGGTGTCCTTGTCTTATCTCCCTACAGCACTGTAAGCTCCCAGGGAGCAGGTCCCCTGTCTGACTTGCCCATGATCCTCCTCAGCCCCAGCCTAGTGCCCCAAGCATCATGGCCACTTGGTGTTTACGGCCAGGTGAGATCCTAAGTAACTCAACAATGATATGGGGTCAGATGAGATCCATAGTCCTCAGCCCCGGCTTACCTTAGAGTCTCCTTGGGAGCTCTTCTGGGGCCCACCCCCAGACATTCTGACTTCATGGCTCAGGTACCAGTTGATTCAGAATCATTGAATTATATTAACTCTAAGCCCCTTTTAACTTCTCAAACATTAACCACACCTGCAGACTCTGCCTTTCTATGAGCTCCAGGTGCTGTGGATGTTGCTGGTCTAAGGACCACTCTTTGGCACGGTCTGAGGCTGTGGTTCTCAGCCTTGGCTGTACACTGGAAACCACCTGGTAGGTGAAGGCCATGGGTGCCTGGGCCGCACACCCCTGAGATTTTGATTCAGTTGGCTCAGGGTGAGACCCAGACGTGCTATATAAGTTGCATTTCTAGTACTAGCAATGTGCTCTTTTACCTTTTAAATATTTCCTAAATCTGTTTGTCTTTTACTCCTGTTTCCCTCCCATCAAACCTTGACTTGGGCCCCCATCATCTCACACTCAGGCTTGCGCAGTATCCTCTTAACTAGTATCCTCTCACGTTATTCCCGACCCCAAATACCTTCTTCAAACTTCCTTCTCAAGGGCACAGTAGAGGTGCAAGCAGTTTTAAGGTGCTGGAAATTTTTTCTGTAGGGCAGTGGTTATCTCTTTTCTGTGCATGACAACAACTATATAGCTTGTTAAAACACAAACTCTTGAGCCTCAAACCCCCATTTCTGATGTAGGAAGTCTGTGGTAGAGCCAGAGAATTTGCATTCCCAACAAATTTCCAGGAGCTGGTGCTGCTTCTGGTCCAAGGACGACACATTAAGAACCTCTGCTCCCAGATTTGAGGGGGATCACAGTCCTGACACGAGAAATGTGAATTGAGCCGACAGACAGGAATGTGTGGTTGGTTCCACCCCAGATCAGCGCAGATCAGGAGTCAGAAACCTCCTACCTACAAGACCAAAACCAACCAAAGCAACTGCAGCAACAGCAACAGTGGCAGCAGTGAAGCAGCCTCTCCTCACAGAGACACGGGAGTGGGCCAGGCACCCATGTGCACCTCATCTTATGCATGCCATCTTAAAATGGCGCTTACTGCCATTTACCTGGGAGGAAAGTAAGGCCTGGTGTTCACACACTGGCCTGCAGTAGAGCTGGGACTCAGGCTGAGGTCTCCTGACTCTGCCCTGTGCAGAGAGTGGTGACAGGGAAGCCTTAAACCTGACTTAGACAGAGGTTATAGTACCTTTAAATTCCAGCATCTGTTGCTTACTATCTGTGTCACCTGGGTCAGGTAGCCTCTCTCTTTTCCTCAGTTTCTGCTCCTGAAAAGTGATCTTAACAATTTCCTCCTGGGGTTAATGTGAGGTTCACACGGGAGCCTGTGAGAAGGGTTCTAACTCAGTGCGTGGCCACCCCAGCACTCAGTGGTGTGGCTTTCCTGTGCGCCCCCTGCTGGCCAAGTTTCTGTTTTTCATAAGCTTTGTGAGGAGGTCAGGTTTGGCAGCCTCTTGGTAATGGTCCAAAGAAGCATTTGGAAGGTTCCCAGGCTCGAAACTTTTCTTCTGTGCCACTCAGCAGATATGTGTTACCTGCACCTCTCAGGAAAGGCAGAGGCCCACCCTGAGCTTATGTCTTACCAAACCTCCTGAGATTTGCTTCTACAAACAAAAAGCCTCAGCCCATCCCAGCACTCTTAGGTGTCCCCAGTCTCTGATTCTCCCTCTCCTCTAAGAAAGCCCAGTGGCACCATCCCCCATCCCACCCTCGCCTCTCAGCCACCCTCGTCGTCCACCCAGGGTCCTTACATGAGTGTGCAGAACTCATGGAGGTAAGGCTCAGGCCTGGCCCCAGGGGGCTTCTGGCTGGGTCTGGAATCAGAGACAGTGAGGTTAGCTCATGAAACTTGAATTTTCCAGGGATTTAGGAGAATCAGAGGGGCCATTTAATGCTTTACTTCTTTTTTCTGTGTTTTGAGAAACACTAAAGCAGAGAGACAGTAATGACATTAAAAATAGCTTCCCTGATCAAGAAAGGTGGGAAACAGAGCTAACATAGAGCTAACTGAGTTTCTGAATGCAGAATTTCCTAGCGCCCTTACTTATTAGAAACACAGTTATTGCATTAATTAGTAAATATTGCATTGCATTAATTCAAGGGGATAGTATACATTGCCCTTGAGAATAATCTGGAGGATTCTGCCTGATAAAAGATTAAGTTTGAGAAATGCCTGAATGAAATCCCTGTTCATAATCCAAACAACTTTTGTACGCTGAGAGCACAGAGAACCTATGGAAGAACTTGTGCTCTGGGGTGAAAGTTCTACCCAGGCTTGGCTTTGCTTGGCTGCCTGAGAGAATTCCGCATCTCACCGCTCTGAGCCTCATTTTCCCCATCTGTCCCTCCAGCTCTGACAGTCTATGCCTCGAAGAAGCAGGAGGACTGCACCTTGGTGGGGAAGGATGGGGGGAAGGTGGAGCTACCCCAGCCCCAGGCAAGACAGAAGATTCTCAAGGATCGTGTTGGAAGCAGGAAGAAGCGCCTTCGCCTCCCATGCACCAACAAACAGAGGCAGAATGAGGACATGGTCTCAATATACCATTTGAAGTTCCCTGGCATTGGGAAATTACAGAATCTTGTGTCTTTGCCCTCGCAGTGTCCACTCCCCACTGCCTCAGGGACAGAATGAGCATGGTGGCCACCACATAGCTCCTGTTCCAGGAGCAGGGCTGGTTCAAAACCATTCTCTTGTTACTGTTAGAAGATCCACATTTCTCAGACTAATGTCCTGATTTTTAGTTTTGGAACTCTGATTGCCATGTGTGAGTTGAAAGCTTAGGGGTTTGGCTCTGGCATGTTACAGGCCACTCCCTTCACACTCCATGCATTAGACAGTCATTTGCGTCAAAAACCTCCTGTTACTGTCCCTCTTGAGCCAACGACCAAGTGCCTTGCCCCACAGAGCACTAAGAAGCTCTGAGCTGGGGTCATTTTTCCAACCTAGACTCAGACAACCCCTTCTGCCCCAGGACCTTCTCCTCTGCCTGAGCAGGCTAAGAGCAAAGAGATACACTTGGAGGATTCAAAATCATCCAGTTGGTATTTCAAGTCTTCAAAATCCCAAAACTTTGGGTAAAGATCTACCACCTACTGTACCTGGGTACCTGTGGCAAAACTTCATTTTTTCTACAAGGATTTCTCTCGTCTAATTCACTTCGAAGTTCTCAAAGCTCGTTTATCAGGCAAAGTCAGCAGAGAGGAACCGGTCTGTGCACAGCGCCTAACAAAGTCCTGCTTTAGGAATTACTTTTTGGCCCTCATAGGGATTAGCACAAGAATCTTACCTTCTGAGCAGGACTGGGATTCATCTCTTTCCCAGTCTTCAGAGTCCGTTTTCACACCTGAATTCTCCTCCAAAAAGGACATTTTCAGTGGGATGAAATGACTCAACAGGAACCTTGATGAAGGATAGGACCTGACTAGACAAGAAGGAGTTTGGTTATGGCACCTTCTGACCCCAGGAAACCTTGCTGGACCCGAGTGAAGAACAGGCTGCCGGCCTTGCTCTCTGCTTGGAAACATTTGCATCCAGGAAAGCTCGCAGGGCTGGACCATGCTTTTCTGTCTATCACTCCTTCTTTGATCTTTGCCTCTCCAAAGCAATGTTTTCCAAACTGTGGGTCACAATGCATTAAGGGTCATGATGTCATTTTTATGGATCTTGCCAACATTTTATAAAAATGAAATAAAAATTTCAAAGTGTATTGCTCTAGTCCTCGGGCTGGAAACTGTGGCCCACAGGCCAAATCTGTCCCACTGCCGGTTTTTTAAATAAAGTTTTATTGGAACATAGCCATGCCCTTGTTTACATGTTGTCTATGGCTACTCTCCAGATACAACAGCAAGGATGAGTAATTTAAAGAGAGATCATGTGGCCAGCAAATGCTATAATGCTGACTGTCTCAACCTTTACAGAAAAAGTTTGCTGACCCCCTGCTGTAGTCTAATCTTTTCAAAGGAAGGCAGTTTCTTTGCAGCCTCTTGTCATGGAAACTAAGCCTCAAAAGGTCCCAGAAGGCTCAGCTCCTAATGTCTTGGGGCAGGGCTGACACAAGGTCCTTTAGTTGGAGGGGTTAGAGAAGAGATTTCTAAACACCCCCTAATTCTGCACATCTCACTCAGTTCACAGAAAACTTTCCCCAACATTAGTTCAGGACAATATAGTGAGGGAAGTGGGGCAAGAATTGTTATTCCCACTTTATGGATGAAAAACCTGAAGGTAAGTGACTTTTCAAGGGTCACACCACTTTTAAGGTTGCAGAGATGGGCAATTTTTGTAGAAACCCAATCCTTTGAGAATGGCTTAGGAGTGAGACAAAGAGAACTACATGGTTTTCAAAAAATAAAAATGATAAAGAAGGGATCCAGGGCTTGGCAGCAAGGGCAGTGAGCAAAGGAGAGGATGACCACCAAGCAGCTCTGGGGAGTGGGGAGACCTGATGGATCTTTAAGGGCATAAATATCTACTATTTGATTTTAAGTTGTTTGTTGTTAGGCTGCATCCCCCAAATCCATAAAGCACAATGACCTTTGCGGTTTGGGGGTAAATCAAGGGACACAGAGAATGGGTGGCACTTGAGAAGGCAGAGAATTTGGCAGACACAGGACATCAGAACAAGAGATGTCTGGGCAGAACCACCTACCTGGGCCAGGGATCGCCACAGTTTGTGGCTCTGTCTTGGGGTCCTGGAGCTCTGTTCGTCTTCTGCTCTGTGATGTCTGATCTAGAGGGGCCAGGTCTGGTCCTCATTTTAAGTAGTCAGTTCGGGAATGTAAATGCAAATGCAACAGCAGCATTCCTTTAACCAATAAAAACAGCATCTTAGATTATCAGCCATCACTCATTGCCTGTCATTTTCCACAGCAAGGGATAGTGTATGGAACTGTAAACAAATTCTAGCATAAACAAATTCCTGTAGGGTAGTGTCACTCTGCCAAGGACGGTACCACATCCATTCAACACATTTCAAGGCACTCGAGATAGACTGTGTGGATGCAAGTCCAGGCCAACAGCAAAGGTGTAGGAAAGAGTCATGATTGAAAGGAAAGGGGAGATGCAGGGTCTAGGTCAGGCAGTGAGCCTGGAAGGTGCAGGGACGTCTCTGTCCACATGTTGTCCTTTACCCCAATCCCAGAGTTTAGGCAAGTGGAGTCTCCATGTCCCAGAGGAAAATCTCCTTTCATCTCTCCTTCAGGTGCACTCCAGAACATCACTGACACCTCCCTCTCCCTCTTCTTCAGCAGTGACGTGCAAAACACCCCCAAGGGCCCTTCCTCATCGAGCCCACCAAGGACCAGCTTCTCTCTACGGTCTGTTGGCTATTTACTAGCATTTTCTTGCATTTTGCATTGCGTTTGCTCTTGTCATTTAATCTGTGTGACTGTGCTTCACAATGCCAAAGACAGCCGGTCAATTGAGAGGAAAATCCGCATAACTAAGTAAGATAATAGCTTCTGGGCCACCACCACCAGCACCACAACAACACAGGGACGACAGCAACAATCTCTGCAGTCAGCAGGGCCCTTACCATGCCAGGCCTGGGCTAAGTCCACTGCTTTCTTTATCTCACCTAATCCTTTGATGATCTGTGGGTAGGTGACATCCTCCCTGCTTCCAGACAAAAGACGTTACAGTTGTACAGGTTAAGCAATTGCCCTAAGATCACATAGCTAGTTAAAGGCAGCACAGGACTGTAACTCAGGCCTTTCTGAGCACATGGCAGCTCTATCTCTTAAAAGTGGCTAAAGACTAGGGTCTCATCTTCTAGTCTTTTTCCACATACACATCTACATAAAATACAAATATAGGAGTGTGTTTGGCAAATTATTTTGTAACATGACATTCCTATTTAACAGTGCTTCCTGCCTTTTCTACTCAATATATCTCAAATATCATTTCATTTCATTAATACTTTTCTACAGCATCATATTTAATTGCTGTAGGGTATTTCATTATTTGTTTAAAGACTTGGAACAATGCTATTCCCCTGACAGCTGGAATAAAAATCCACAAGTTGTCTGTTAAATTCCTAATAAGGAGAGATCTTTGTTTGGAGAATTTCTAAATAAACTTTTGGGATGGGGATGAGATAGTGAAGGAAAAGATGAAGTAAAAATAAAATAAAGTCAAAATGGTCACTACATTGTCTTCTAGGAAGGCAAGTTGGGGTGACTGCAGACACTGCTGCTGCCGAGTTCTGGAATGAGAGAGAATGAAAGTGTGGGGCGGCCCCTCATTGCTCTCAGGATGGGGAAGATGGAGATAGGTGGGGAGGTGCCATGTTGCGGTGGGTGCAAGATAGGCTTGTAGATCCTGCCCAGGAGTTCCAAGACAGGGAAGGGAAATGAGAGAGAAGAGTTGTTGCTACAATGGGGGGCATTACATAGTGTGGTGTGGAGTATTCAGTATAAACTCTCACCTTTATTTTCACACACACTCAACCTCTGTGAATTTGACAGTCCTGACCAATACTGATGCACAAGAGGATATTGTTTACTTATTTGTTTTTTTATTTGTGGGAGGTTGAAGAAGAGGACAAGGGACAGCTAATTTGTGTCACATATTGAGGTACCATTACTTAATTAATCCCCAGTTTTGAACATTTGGGTTTTCATTTTTACACTATTATATACAATATTGTGATAAATATTATTGGACTTAAACCCTTGCATATATCATTGATTACTTCCCTAGGATAAATTCCTAGAAGTATAATTGCTGGGTTAAAGGATATACATATTTTATTTTATATATTTTTTAAAATTTTGCATCTTATAGTGATTTTAAGGAATCTAATTTATTAGATAATTTTTTTTCATTTATCTAACCACTCATTACAGAGGAATCACCATTAAGACTTTTTGGCAGGTTGTATTTTCGTGTGTGTGTGTGTGTGTGTGTGTGTGTGTGTATCTTTGGTGCATTTCTATTTTCTGTATGGGGGAGATGTGTGTTTTCTTGGAGTGTGTATTGTGCTTTTGTATGTATGTTTTGTGTGTTGTTTTTGTGTGTGTATATTATTGTGTGCTGTGTGTTTTCTGGCTATATATGTTTTGTGTGTGTTTTGTGTATATGTGTGTATGCTAAGTATGCATTGTTTGTGTTGTGGGTATGTGCTTTTGTGTGGTTTTGTGCATGTTGTGGGTGCATATATGTTGTGTCCAGGGAAGCCTTTGCTTCCTTTTTATCTGCACAGCACCAGAAGGGCTCAGCATGACACCGGGTTGATTTACACATAAGGTATCCCCTACTTTAGGCTAAAATGGAAAGCGCAGCAAGATTACAATACTCCACTTCAAGCCAGCCTCCCGTGGTCAGGGTGCCAGATGTGCCGAGACATCCTGTAGTCATTTTGTGAGTATTATGAAATAGGTATTTGTGAGTATTACGAATAGCACTGCCCAGATGCTGACCCAGTGGAATTCCAGCTGTTCTCACTGCCACTTTTGATATTTCTAAAATGATCAGACCCCATTGAGGGATTCCTCCTGTAAAAGTGTTCAAGGGGCTACTTGGCAGGGATGTGCCGGTAAGTGGACAAGAGCAAACAGGCAGCACACACCACCAGGCATGCTTCTCATCAGATGCTTACCTCCTGTCCGGTGGTGGAGGCCAGTACTCTGGGCACTGTGTGAGTCACCTGCTCCTTGGGTGGCACAGAAGAGACAGATGTGTCTCCCAGTTCACAGCCACCCTTTCTGATCCCAGAGTTTGGCATTTGGGACCCCTGCCTTTGGTTTCTGGCAGCTCTGGGGGCCTCAGTCCCCCTCCACAAGTTGGTTTCAGGAACTTGCTCTGAGTTTTTTGTTTATTATTTGTGGCATAGGATGTGAATATTAGCAGAAATGATGAAAAACTCTGAAGAGAATGTTTAAGAATTTCTCTTCCTGGGAACACCAAGAGCATCTCATCGCCCTGGCTATGACTGCATTTTTAAAAGGCTTCATTTTAGTGCTAGGGCCTTCACACTGCCCTAATACTACCCCACCCCCCAGTAGCTTGGGCCACGGCCGCCTATGTCTGTGGCATTTCTGTGGTGAAGGGGCAGCTGGTGATTGTCCCAAAGCAACATGGCATGCCAGCAAGAGCAGAACTCAAAAGCTTCCCTTGCCCCGCCTCCCCTGCTTCCACCTCTGGCCCCTTCTCTCCAAACTGCAGAGCCCATCCTCAGCAGTTCAGGCAGCCTCTACCCTCCCCTGGAGATTTTCATGGTCTCTTGGTTAGTGCCTGGAATCCACACTTCTCTCTGCTTCTCTAGCTTCCCCCGAGTTGATTTTGGGGGAATAGCCAGCAGCCCACACTAGGTCACCACTTTTAGTGGCTGTGTTTATTGATCAGAAGGGAGAAGACAAAGTCACAGGCCTTCCCCGCAGGAACTGGGCAGCACCAGTTGCCCAAGCACCTGGTGGGTCCTGTCTGACAGGACCTCTGAATTTCAATTTAAGTAAATATGCTCCAATGTTTCCTCACATACTTTCTTTTTGTGATGCTCATACCAATCCTCGGATGAAGACATCCTCAATATTCCTGTTTCAAATAGAGAAGAACCACATTTCAGAAAAGTGATGTGCCCTGTCCAAGATCATATGGCTGGAGTCCTGTGGCCTTTATGAGGCACTAACCAGACTCTCTCCCAGATGGCATCCAGTGGATCCTGGAAAAATCCCGAGGGGCTCAAGCTGCCTCCTTGTCACTGCAGGGACCTTACAAGAGGGTATGACAGGAGCGAGGATGGATGACACAGACTGACAACATGGCAGAGTGAGGGGTTGCTGAGTATAGAGGGTCAGCAGTGGAAACTTTGAAATCATGGGGGAAATTCGTAGTTTTTTGTTTACGGGGAGAAAAGGAAAATTGAAGACAAAATCATAACACGTATCCATTCTTACATTTAATACTTTTTATAGTTCTAATGTCATTTTGTTATTGGAAACATGAATACATGTTGTGTCAGAGTTTACTTTACAAAATTATGTTTGTTCTTTAAATCAGGAAATATTCTATGGCCTTCTAGCCAATGGGAGGTCGAGTTTAATTTTGTTAATGGCCACCTGTTAAATTCCATTGTATTGTCTGCTCCTTCCCCATCTGCTGTCTTCCTCATCTGCCAGAGCTTGGAAGCAGAGTGGGGACAAGGGACAAGACACCATGATTTCTGGATTGAGACTTCTGGTCATGTGACTATCTGAGTTTTTATACAGGAGCAGGAAAAATATTAGCGTTTAAGTTAAAGGGTTGAGGCCCTGAGCAAATGCTAGAAAATAATAAAAAGAGGAATGGTAAAGAAGCCAACAGAGGAAATAAAATAGAACATTAACAAATATTTGACTAACAAACAAAGATAGAAAAGAGCAATAGAAGAAAATGGAAGAGATAACTGGAAAACAAAAGGCAAAATGGTAGGCTAAATCCAACCAAATTGTTAATTACACTAACTGTGTTCATAACGTCCAAGACTGGGTCAGCAAAATGTGGTATATCCATACGATGGAATGTTACTCAGTAATATAAAGCAATAAAGTACTGACATATGCTGCAGCATGGATGAATCGTAAAAACATTATGCTGAGCAAAAGATGCCAGAAACAAAAGACTATATACTGTACAAGTCCTTTATATGAAAATTCAGAACAAGTGAAACTACTCCATAGTGATGGAAATCAGATCAGTCGTTGTCTGGAGTGGAGCATAGGGGCAGGAGGGAACTCTCTGGGGACATGGAAATGCTGTAGATATTGATGGGAGTATGGGTACAACGAACATATATGTTTGTTAAAAAGCATCAAACTATATATCTAA